TCAGACAGACACCAGGGCCAGCAGTGGCCTGGCCTGGGGGGTGGTGGCAGCTCCAAGCTGTTCTCTCTGCGATGGCTTCCAGGTTCTACCCCCGGATAGTTCTGTAGGTGGCACCGGCGCCCCCCGTGTGTCCGCTCAGACCGTGGCGCCGGGCTGGGACGCAGGAGCCCGTCCCTGCTCTCCAGAAGCTGCAGGCACACCGGGGAGATCTGTGCAGGACGGGCTGTGATACAGAGCCGGGTGAGGGCTCTGCACAGGCTCCATATGGCGCGTGTGAGCGCAGGGAACCCCTCTTCCTGAGGGATCCCCCAGCTGGGGCCGCTTCTCGAACGTTGGGAATGAGAACGGACAACCTGCCCGTAACAGTTTTTACAGAGAAAAGCGGACGGGGGACCAGGAGCAAAGGGAGCACATAGGGCAGGCAAGGGGGTAGGGAGAAAGCGAGACAGTGGGGCAGCTGGGCTGCTGGCCCGCCCCATCCCCATCAGCGCTTGCCCTCGAGCGGACGAGGGTGCTGGCGGCCACAGGAGCGCTGGGCCTCGGCGGGAAGAGCGTCCTTGGCAGGAGTAGAGCCCAGCAGACAGCCAGCTGGTGTAGATCCTAGAGCTGCGAACTCGGAGCCTGACTTAGTGAGTAATTTGTACAGTCCCGTGGGTTAAGGTTTTCTATTAAGCTATCTCTGCTGCTAATAATTTAGCTGGAAGATATGTTAGATACGGAATTGGGGAAACCCATCTCAGGGGATAATGACATTGTGAAGCCATATTATGTCTACCGTGGGGAACAATTTTAAGCCTGTGCTAATAGTTGAAGCTACAAGAGATGATTCTGAATGGAGAAAATGGTTGAGGGCTCTGCGGGCAGCTGTAGGGCCTTTGGGTTGTGGAAAGTAATCACGTAACCCGATTGATCGGTGACACGGAATCCCATTAGTTGCCGAGGAGGGTCTCTGACCGGGGGGGTCACCCAGACCGAGGTCCAGCTCTTGCTGCCTTCCAGCTATTTGACCCCCGGTGAGTCACTGGGCTACTTAAGATTTCATTCAGAAAGGCCCCAGCACGAGGCACTGTGCGTCCGGGGCCGGCCAGCCGGACGCCGGGCCCCATGGGGCGCGGAAGGTCCACGGTTTGCACAAACATGAAACGTGGGGCGTGGAGGGCGGAGAGGGGCTCCCTCCACTGTGTTCCGTTCCCGGATCAGCTGTAGGTCAACGACAGCTGGGCTGGCGGGGCCCCTGGCTCACAAAGGCTCCTAAAAACATTAACACTGTCCTGCAGCAGGCCCAGGCAGGCTTCAGGAACCGTGGCCGTCGTGAGTTAGGTTTTGGGACTCGGTAAGGTGACGGAGCAGTGGCACGCGGACTCTCTTACGCCTGTGCCCCCCTCCCCCCCCCGGAAGGACGCTCTTTGCAGGACTCCTGCAAAAGTCACATTTACCTTCGTCGCCATCTCTCTCCCTGGTGAATTAAGCCCGAAAGCCCGCGTTGGGAAGGTGTACTGTGTGCTCTCACCATTAGCAGTGGATGGAGTGAATGGTGATTGTGTCGCACAAAACCCTGGAGCTGAAAACTGAAGAAACAAAACAGAAACAGAAAGGAAAAAGGGTTGTCTTTGGACAGACTTCATCCTTCGAGAAGGCGATACAAACAAATGCACGTATACATGTAAAGGGACAGTGAGACAAGTGTAACACTCAGGGAGTCTTGACCTCTCACGTTAGGCAAGTTTTGATTGGTGGGGTTTCATAGATGGGGTGATGCTGGCCCTTCTTGGAAAACCGTTCGTGCCTTCCTTTGTAAAACGAAGTCTTAGTCCCTCAGCTGAGGGAAGCCCTTCCGGACCCGGCCGTGAACCTCGCTGCCGCTCCTTCCCAGTGCTGTCTCCGTCCTGTGACTTCGGCACGTTGGACAGATGCCCCCGGAGGGCCTCCCACGAGCAGATGGCCCCGTGGCCTGCAGCTCAGGGTGGGGCCCGGCGCCTCTGGCTCAGCCGGGAGCAGAGCCTCGATGCAGAGAGGGGTCCAGAGCAGAGGCCGAGGACGGGTAGCCTGGAGTGTGCGAGAGGGCTCAGAACAGAGCCCAGGTGAGGCTGTGGAAGCAGCAAAGAGGGTGTCCCAGTGAGTAAAGCTGAGGTCGGCTCAGCAACGTGAGATGGCGCAGAGCCTTCTGGAAAGGTGAAGACAGAACTCTGCCTGGTGGGTGTGCTGGTTGGGAGATGCTCACTAGCCCCTCTCTGTCTGCGAAGCCTTTTGCCGCCACCGCGGACAGCACCACCCTCCACGACGCGGCCCCCGGGCCCCCACGCGACAGTAATAAGCACTTGGTTTACCGTTATTCCAAGCACGGCGGCCTCACTTGGTCTCTGCCTGTCTTCCTCCCCCCGTCTGTGGGCAGAGGCCGTGTCTGGGTCATCTCGGGACCTCCCCCTCCTCCTGGGCTGGCTCCGGAGAACCCCACTATCATGGACACGGGAGGCTGCGGCCTACGCAGGGGCAGGGTTCCCCGTGTCCACGGCCCTGGTTGCGGCCCTCGTCAGTACGGGGCCGTCGTGTCCGCGTCATTCACAGGGACAGGCGTTTTTAGCCAGTGGAAACTTGCTGTTGTGACTGCCTCGCGTCTCCCGTGCCCAGGAGTGTGTGGGTCTCAGAGCTCGTGTGCTGGTTGATCTCAACATTTTTATCGCATCATCCGTTTACCTGAGGTGCCGCAGGCTTACTTGGCACGTGGGAGGTCCCAGGCCCTCAGCACGGATCACCTCGCCCCTGCACCTCTTCCTTTGTGTAGAATTTCCTGACAGTTAAGGGGGAAAAAAGCATTTGTTGTTCCCCTCCCTTCCCCAACCTTCTGCCAGGCACTCTCTTTCAGTGTGAAATAAATCAATATTTGCTTCTAAAGTCTGGGTGCACAGTACATTTTCCCATTTAAATGAAATGGAAGCAAACACTAAAAGAAAAAAAAAAAAGAAAAGGTCGTGATTCACTCTAGAAAAACAAATCAGGCTAAATGTGTTAAGAGTTTCCACTCAGGCTAGGTCTCTGCTTCTGGTGAATTCTTCCAGTCCGCATTAGCAGTTCCTCCTGATCGTAGCTTCGTGTGGTGCCCTCCCCAGAAAGGCCTTCCCATTCCTCTAAGTGCAACACAATCCCCCTGTTGACACAGCCCTACCTGCTCACAGGGTACAGTACTGTCACAGGGCCGGAGGGGGACCCCTGGAAGCCACTTGGGTCAGTCCCAGGGGAGCATGGAGTCGTGGTTGTTGCAGACGGACGGGCAGGGAGAAGGTGGCTTCTCTAGACACCAGCTGGGAGAGGAGTCAGGTGCCATGACTGGGAGCTCCCGGAGGCCACCTGAGTGCACCCGCCTTTCCCGTCAGTCCCTGGAGTCACTGCTCCTTCTACCCGCCCTGCCTGGCATCCCTCCCCGCTTCTCCTCCAGAGATGATCCCTGGCCACCGGCCCCTCCCACCCCCCCAGGCTCTGCCGGCCCCTCGGCCCCTGCGTCTGCCCCCGCTGGGCTGGGCTGTGGTTTTCCACCGCACCTGTCACGGCCTCTGGTCCCTGGTGGGGCATCACTCAGCAAATACGTACTCGTGTGTGCCAATCATCCAGCTTGGCCCTGGGGGAGAGCTGTGCCTGGACTCCGCAGCCCCTGCCCGCACGGAGCGCAGCGTGGTCTGGTGGGGTATGAGAAGAGGACAGAGGTTTGGAGGAGGGGAGGAAGTCACAAGTGACGGACAGGCCGCAGTACCTTTCAGGCAGCGGGTGTTTACGAAAGTCATGTCCGACGAATACCGCGGGTGCCGGGAGGGCCGTGGTGTGGTTAAACACCCACTTCGCGTGCAGAATGTCCTTTATCTTTCCTCCAGCCCCCTGAAGTGGGCATTAGTCCCCCGTTCACAGATGAGAAAACTAAGGCTTGTAGGGTAGGTGTGTGGCCTCACAGCTAATCGTGGCGAGCAGCCGTTCGAGCCCTGCTTAGCGCAGGACAAAGGGCCATGTTGACCAAGGGACTGCTTTGGCCTTGCCGTTCATCCCCAGCCCCTGCCCTGGAAAGGAAGCGCCTGTCTCACGTCCCTGCACACATCTGAGGACTCTGATTCCCTTAGAGAGCAACCCCATACCCTCCTTCTCTTCCAACCCTTCCGTTATTTTTGCGGCCTCAGGCTCCCAGCTCCTCCTAAACCTTCCCCGTGTTCTTTCGATGACTTTTCTTCCCGAGATCAAAGACGGTTGTTATTTAAAGCAGGCCAGAGCCCGCAGGGTCAGGGACACTGGGCATCAGCACTACCGGAATCGGCTCTGTCTGGAACCCGGCTGCTCGGAGCTCCGGACAGTGGCCTGGCTGTACAATTCAGGTGCCCTCCACTGACAGATGTCCCCACAGACTCTCCTGCCCAGCCCCGGGGGGCGGGGGCTACCTCCGCCGGCCACCTCCCCCGGATAGCTAAGGCATTGGTGTTGGTGGTGGGCTGCGTCTGGGGGGAATCAGTCTTGCAGGAACATCTCCTTTTTCCCAGTGCGAGACTGATCTGCAGTACAGGGGCTGGGCTCCCACAGTGTGTGGAAAGCCAGAAAACCCGGGATAAACGTAGGCCCCTTTCTCAGCTCCAAATGGACCAGCTTTGAATTTCCAGAAGCCGCCCACCCAACCCTCGACACGGTTGCAGTACATAATCTGTGCGCTGCCCTCCAACCCGCACACCCTTGGCCACCCCCGCGCCCCTGGGAGGCAGCTTGGCGTCAAGAGAAGAGCCTGGACTTTGGGTGTCAGCTCGGGCTCCGCCACCTGCCGCTGCTGGGGCCTCTGGCCGTGTCGCTCTGCGGCGTGGAGCCTCCCTCTCTTCGTCCATAAAGCAGGGACGGGAGCAAGCGCAGGGCCCTGTGTGCGGTGGGGATGAGCTCCCGGAACCTACCAGACGCTCCGTCAGCAGTAGTTGTGATTCTGTTGTCGTGGCTCGACCCGGAAGCAGGACCCGTGTGACCTTTCTCTTGCCCTCACACAGGTCACGGACGAGGAGCCCAGCTCCAACCACACGGTCATGATCCAGGAGACCCTCCAGCAGGCCTCCGTGGAGCTGGCTGAGGAGCACCACCTCGTGGTGTCCTCTGACGACGTGGAGGGCATCGAGACGGTGACCGTCTACACTCAGGGCGGGGAGGCTTCGGAGTTCATCGTCTACGTGCAGGAGGCCGTGCAGCCCGTGGAGGAGCAGGCGGTGGGGCCGCAGGCCCAGGAGCTCTAGGGGACACGCGGCGGCGGCTGGACGCCACGGGGCGGGCCCGCCAGGCTCTCCGCGGGACGGCACCCTTGGTGGCTCTCTCCTCCTCGGTCCCCGCCCAGGCGGCCAGATGGGGCTCCCCTCGTCCCCCTTTGGGGGGGCAAGGCGACCGGCATCACCAGCAATACAGGACCCCCCGTTCCCAGCCCAAACACACACACCCCTTCCTCTGCGTCCTCTGCTTCCGGAAAGACTAGGCATCGACTTCCCACACAGCCCAGGCCGCGTCGCCCCTTTGCTTCGGGATTCATGCAGGGACCCGGTGCCCGTCAGCGTCTGCCCTGAATCACACCCCCAACTCCCTGACCCCGTGCAGGTGCCCAGCCTTCCTCTGGGACCGCTCTGTGGCCTGAATGATGGGAGGGAGCCAGCCGGCACGGAGAAAGTGACCTTTTGGTTTGGAATCCCCTCCCGGGGAAAAGAGGGGAGGGGATCCTGGCTTTATCCACAAGGTCCTACTCCCCCACGTCCCCAAGTGTCGAGGGCACTTGTTACCGCTTGCGGAAACCACAGTTGAGGACCTCTTGTTCCCGCAACAGGCGGGATCTTAGCTTACGTCTTAGAATCCTGCTTTTTAAAAAAAAATGCACTTTTTACTATTCACCTCCCGTTCTATGAGATGTGGTGGGTAGAATAAAAACATTCTCGGCCTGAGCACTCCAGTGTCTCCATTAGCGTGGATGGTCTGTGTCTCCCCCTCTTGTGAATCAGAGTCTTAGGTTTGGGCCCCACCCGGAACCACCCCATCCGAGGTCCAGAGCCCTCAGCTCATAGATGAGGGTGCCCCCCCCCAAAACATTTTTACGTTTGCTTTGGGGCCACGGCTGGAGGTGAACGGTCTTGCCTTTTATTTCCCGGGGCCTGGCCCTTGGTTTGCTGCCTCTGAGACGCTGCCCGCCCCTCCTCTCCACCTTACGCTCAGGAGGGGCGACCAACGGACCGAAGGCGTCATGGCACGCTGCTCTTGGAGATGCAGGCCGGGAGCCGTGATAAATCCCTTCTTGAGCCTCTGCCCTGTGCACAGCATGGTAGGGGCATCGGGGTGAGTCCTCCGGCAGCCTGCCCCGTCCTGGGTCTCTCGACGTCATCACCCACCCTCCAGTTCACGGAGGCCAACATGTGTTTCCTCCGAGAACCCTTCAAATGAAGTCTTCGGCGTATATAAACGGATGCACCGACACAAAGCGGTAGTTGCTCTGGTTGAAGACAGCGGAGTTCACCGCCCCGCGCACTTGGCCCTCCGTGTTAGGGCCCAGTCATCCCACCCCGGCAAGCCCCGAAGGCGCCTCTTGAGGGAGGTGTAAAGCTGCTGCTCTAAGACCGGGACGCAGGTGGCCTCTTGCCCTCAGCAAGGAAGGGAGTTCAGGGAAGGAAGGACACTCCCCGGTCGGGATGAGTCGGGCAAAGTTCCCGATGGAGGCGGCCTGTGATCAGAGCCTTGCAAGCTAGATAGAGGGAAGGATAACGGTAGAAAAGTAGCACTGAGTCATGCCCGGGACGGGACAGCATGGGGGAGGGCCAGTGATCCTCGGGCAGTCCATCTGGCTGATGGGTGGCTCTAAGGAGAAAAGCAGAAAGCTCAACCAGAAGCCAGAACCAGGGATGATGAGACAGGACGGATATTGATTTTATTCAGTGAACCACGGGGACATGGCAGTTGTGGGTAGCCCCAGGGTGTGGAGGGCAGAGCGGTGCTCCAGAATGGGTGATGTCCGGACATCAGGGTGGGCTGTGTTGAGATGCTGGAGCATCCAGATTGGAGGCAGAGTTCCCGGGCTCAAGCCCAGCTCCATCCCTTCCTACTTGAGTGACCTTGACACGTTTCTGTGCCTGGCTGAGTTTTAGTTCACTCCTCTGTGAAATGGGTCTCAGGATAATTGCTAACTGCTAAGATTGCTGAGAGGATTGAGTGGGCAAAGCCCTGGGAGACACTCACAGAGTAGCTGGCCCATACTCTGCACGTATCGGTTACGATTTGTATCGCTAGGCACGGGGGACCAGACCTCCGCGCCCCCCAGACTCTACCATCTAGTGGGAGAGATGGGACGTGAACACACAACAGGAAAAGACTCACTGAATGTGCTCAGTGCTCCGAGTGAGGCCACAGGGGGGAGCCTGCCCTTCCTTGGACCAGAACTGACAGGGACATGGGATGCTGAGGAACAGGTGCCCAGCCATTTAGGGGCGCTCAACCTCCCGCACAGCTGTCCACAGAGCTAGAGTCTGGGCGACTTCAGGGCGGGGCCGGTCCTGCATGCTGTTCCCCTCGAAAGTTGGATCTGACTCTTTCTGAGATGCACGTCCAGCATGGGCCGCCTTTGCATCATCATGAAAAAATCTTGTTCTAATTTGCAAACTCCCCATGAAGAGATACCTGTCCTGGCTGATGTTCCGCGTGAGTGCCCTGGGTGCCTGCTGGGTCGTCTGGAGCCCTTGGGCACCGCTAAATACAGATTCGACGGACAAGCGGCTTAGTGTCATGAGGGCCTTGTGCCTGGGCAGGGAGACAGGCTTTGGTTTGAGTCCGATTTCCACAGTGAGGATTTGTTGTGATGTTGGTTAACCTTTAAGAGTATTGTGTCATCACCCGTAAAACGGGATAAATCATTCACCCCATTTGCCTGGTTTGTTTCAAGGATTTACCGTGATCGCATTGCCGTAATTGCGCGTAGTAGGAACACGGCAAATACTTATTTCCCGTTGTTCACGGTGGGTTCCTAGGAGAATCCCATAGCAGCTGGACAGGGTCGCCTCATGTCCCCGCCTATGAGTGGAGCTGAGGTTCACGTGTAGTCCAGTTGCAGAAGCCTGGTGTCCACTGTCTCCCCTTTCCTGGGCCTGTCACGGTGCCTGGCATGCGTTCAGTCACACACTGAGTCCGCACAGGCCAATCAGCTACCTCCAGTGGCCGGGCACTGGGCTGTGAGCTGGGAACACAGCTCAGCAGTGACGCGCCCCAGGCCTCAAGGACTTAGCCCTGGGTCAGAGGGTGGAAGAGTGAGCAGGTGACAGGAAGCCCAAGCGGAAGCATCTGCAGAAGCAGAGCCCAAAGGGGGGCCGTGGAAGACATGGCTGTCACCTCCACCGAGCCCGGGGCCAGGCAGGGTGGAGGCTCACCCGGGAGATGGGAAGTAATGGAGACCCGGAGCCGGTGTGGACTGGCCCAGCCGAGCCCTGCTCTGTGTCCCACCTGTGCCACGCTGTGGTGCAGCTGGAACTTTGGGAGCCTGTGGCATCTGGCTGGTTGAGATGACTCCAGAGGACGGAGGCAGGGACCCCGGAGTGAGGTTAGGACCTTGCTAGGCCTGGAAGGAAGGGGGTGGGGAGAGAAAAGGATGCGTGGGGAGAAGGAAGGGAAGAGTTTTGCTGTTTAGTGCATCCACACCGTATTTTGTACCCACAGACCGTTTCCCTTGGCCGCGGTCCTGAAATCATCCAGCCCTTGGCTCTCCCCTTGCAGGGCTGTTCCTGGGGAGGCTTTGCTCATTGCAGATGTTGGGCAGCAGACGGTTTATTTTTGCTTCCCTCCCACCCCCCACCGAATCATGCCAAGGCAGACAGTGGGTGACACCCCACTGTGGCTGCTTGGAGGGGCAGGGCAGGCGGCCGGATCTCTAGAGGCCTTTCCTAGGGAGCTAGTGCTGAGCGTGGGGTGTGTCTGAGTGGTATGCCCAAGTGATGGGTTCCTTAGTTCTGATAATTCCCCCTTGGCTGTTTCCTTGGATACTTCTTGACCCACACTGTATTTTGGGCCAAGAGAAGTGACAACTTGTGCTTGGGAGACCGGGCTCCTGCCTTCCTGTTTTACTGTGTGTGACAGGGACCTACTGTGTGCCAGGTACCGCACTAGGCCCTCTGCCCTCCGTCGCTGTATTCGGTCTCTCCATCCACCTGTGTCTTCATAAGATTGAACTGCCGGTGCTTGAGTGCTCGCTCTGTGCCAGCCTTGTGGATGTTACGAATTCTCACAGCAAGGCGAGAATGGTGCTATCGTTAGAGTTTTACTGATGGGGAATATTAGCACAGAGCGGTTAAGAAACTTGCTGAAGGTCACACAGAAGTAGCAGAGCCAGAATTGGAGCCCCAGCAAGATCCGCGCTGATAACCAAAGTACCCTCGGCCAACTCTTCTGTCCCTTTTACAGCTGAGAAAACAGAGGCTCAGTAAGGAACCCACCTTGGGTGACATCTGAGGGCAGAAAGTGCTGTGGGACTTGAATCCAGTGGGAGTATCCCATTCCATCAGCTACTCTCAGCGGCCTGCCGCCTCTCCTGTTATCTTCCAGCCCTGACACCAGGCAGGCAGAGCAAGGACACGGTGTGGGGGTCAAGGTCAAATTCGGGGAGCGGTGGGGAGGAGACTTAGAGGCAAGAGAGCAAGAGCCCCTCCATGGAGCCCAGGAACCATGTCGCTAGGAGGCAACAGCAGGTCTGAGCTGGAGCCGGCAGAAGACAAGAGCCCCAGGGCCCCCCAAGGTCAGACACAGAGTCGCGATGGGGAGCAGCCAAGGGGGGCCTATGATGTTTGGCTGGCCTGGCTCTCGAAGACCCCTGGCTCTGTGCCCCCCCACCCATCCCGGGCGCCCCTTCAGCCGGTCTTGTCCTCCAGGAGCCCTGACGCCAGCCGGCATCTGGGCGGGCTCTCCCTCTGCGGTGGGGACCCGCCCCCCAGGCCGCCATATGTCACTGTAGGGCCAGGCTTTCCAACGAGCAGCTGAAGTCCAGGCATTACATACCTGGGCCTGACTCCACTGCTTAGAGCTTGTGTAACTTGGGAAAGTGATGTCCCCTCGCCGTGGCGCTAGGGGGGCTAGAGAGGGATGGCCGCAGGGTGTGAACAGCTTCCTGCGACAGGACCAGACATGCCTCCAGCCCACTTAGCACAGCACAGCGCTGCGAGGCGCGGGGGTTCCGGCCCATCCCGTGGACGCAGGTGCCTCGGGGAATGTAGAAAACAGCCCCAGGGGTAGCGAGATTCACGGGGATGACTTTTGTGCTGTGCTTACCACAGCAGTCTGGCGTGGAAGGACGGCTCTGGCCCCTGGAGACCGTGCTCGGTGACGAGGCGTGGCCTCCCGATGTGGCCGCACAACGTGGCCGGGCCACGGCAAGTTTGACCCACCTTACCTGCTCTGAGTGTCACAGTTTTGAGGAGATGGTGACTCATTTTCTAACCGGTGTCTACAGGGCTAATTTAGCAGATTAATTTTTCTTGTAATAAGGATTTAAAACTCATTAGCTGTTGTCACTGATGATTTTCCCCTTGTTCTTCAACTCCATGTTTCAAGGCTGGAGGGGAGGAAAAAAAAAAAAAAAAGAACTCTTTGATGACAAATCCGTCTCCCCCACCCCTTCTAAAATTTCAAAGTGAACTGTCCCATCTCGTCCTTGGACGGAACCCGGCCTCGCACGTCTGTCTCCCCCCCGTGATGATAGTTTTAAGGCGGAGGAGGAAATCTTTGGGAATCAATTAAGCAGACGGATACTTGGCTGGAGAAATAAAACAGCATGTGGGAGGGGGACTTAATTCACCATGCATCACAAAATTTTCTAAGTAAATTATTTTGAAGTCAGCTCGGCCCTTCTCTTAGCCATGACGGGGCCACGTTGGCGTTTGATTTAAAAAATTCTAATCTATCACTGTCACTGTTCCTGCTG